AAAGTTCTCGGACCGAATACGACCCCTACCCCTCCCTCTCTCCTCCGCTGGGGATTTCCCAACGTACCACGTGCCCTGGTTCCGCACGCTTGAATACTGTAGACTTCCATTTATAACATGGATTACCTGCCATGTCTTTTTTTCAAAAAAAAGAGAGGCAGAATCATGGATTCAATTAAATTTTGATTTATAATTGTGAATTTCTTCTTTATTTCTATAGATCATACATTATTTGTAAAGTAATAAATCCTACTGGTGGACGGCAAATAATTGCAGTCCATTTATAAGGTGCAGGAATGACCTTTACTATGCCTAGGTGCACTCATATACAAATCTTCCCGAGTCGTTCAATGCCATCTAGATAGTGGCGGCTGTACGAGCTGTCACATCCGATACCTTAATGGCATGTCCATCCATTTGGGGGTTTACGGTCGCCAGGCGATGACGTCAGATGTGTTAGTAGGTGGAATGGGACGTATATGCATGCATGCGTTTGTCGCGTCCATCGTGACGTCTGCGTCAACAACGCGCAAGACGGCCTCCACCTCCAGCGTAAGCCATCCAGCGCTAATCTGTACGTCTTTGTCGGTACCGCCGCTGCGCAGGAATTTCGTGGTCGCAAATCCGCAAAAATTGCTCTGCGTTAATCCGCCGTTGGGGTGCGATTGTTGCGTACCGGTAATGTGCGGCTTTGAAGCGACGGTGGCGGCGTGTCTTCAAAGAAAGAGAGACGCGGTGCGATTTGAAACCCTGCTCGGCCTCATTCATTGTGTTGTTTGGATGCCTAACGTAACTCGAAACCACCCGCTGAGACAGCCGGATCCGACTGGGCCAGCCGTCAGCCGTGGGGACGGACGCTGACGGCCAGAGTTGTTGGCTGACTGTCGGATCGAATTTGTCGTGCTGAAGAGTTGAAATGTCATTGGAAATTGCTGATGCGTCGTATGCGTTTTGTCTTTGCGCCTGTATACAAGCCATCGAGCAGCTCTCCACGATCCGCCTCATTTATTAGCGAACACATTGCGGCTGGGGTGGGCGATGTTTGCTGAAGAGGAGGCGAGGGTCATTCGGACGCTACGAGTTACATCCCATCGCGTCCCGTAAGTGATGGGACAGGGGTCGCGCCGGGTTAATGCTATGCGTCTAATTAAGATGGACAGGCACGTATCCGGCATTGTCATTATGCTGGAGTAGAGTCATATTTGCCGTGAAAACTGAGAGATGAGATGATGGAATGGTGTCATTTTTATGGGATGTGACCGTGGAACTAGGGCTATTTGGTGTGTCAACATATATTCTGGAACTGGGTTGAATCCTACGGAAAGACAAGATTAGTCGCTAAAAGTAAAAAAAAATTGGGTCTGCTTTGATATTTGGACCCCACATAGCTGGTCCTCGGCTCGCAGTTTTGTTTTTCCCGGAGATTGGAACGAGTGTGGGGCTTATCGGAATCACTCTGGATTCACTCCGACGGAATGGGGCATTTATCTTTTGAATTCAATGAGATACGATTGGTCTAACGGCTATTCGGCTGATTTATCCCTATTAATCGGGGATCTGAGCACGGTGATAAAGATGTTGATAAATATGCGTAATGCGCACAGTTGTTCAGTCTCAGCTCGATCTCGACGTTGGTTGAAGAAACCCTTGGTTCTTCTCCATTAGAGGGGAAACTAATAAAAGCTGTCTAATTACCCTCGCTGGGAGCGATTACCTTCTAAATCGGGCGGATATGGAGAAGTGTGAACTGGCGGTGATTACCAAGCAGCACGGTCCCGAGGTCAAATCTTGGTCTGGCTCACATCCGGGTCAACTGAGTCCTCCATCGTTCCGGGGATACTTTGTACCAGGCTCATATGGGAGGGTAGAATGCTGCTAACAACGTCCGAGCAGCTCGAACTCCCGAGCCAAATGGTGAACAAGGAAAGCCTCGATATCTGACGGCTATTTGGCTGAGATTTACACCCATTGATAAAAACCTCAATACTGCCTACGCGGCCGTCAAGCCAGGGTAAAGTGATGCTTGCCATCAAGCACGGTCGTTGAAGCTGCTCGGATGTTCTAGGTTGCTTACTTTGTGGGCTGGAATCCATCCATTCATTTGCCCGTTCCAGCCAGCCCGGTCGCTTCAAGCTCATACACGATTCTGAGTGGAAGTGGAATTGGTTTCGCATCCCTGAAAAATAGTAGATATGGAAAAAAGGCTAGTACGTCAGGGGAAAGTACATTATATTTTAGAAGATAAATGTTCGGCAACACGGTTGCCAAGGTAACATAAAAGCCTTCAAACTAATTGCACAAAACGCCTTGGGAAGTAGACAATAATACCTGGTGTGAGAGACTAAAAAAAGTGTTCTAATAAGGGTCTCTTAAGAGTCAATGTTGAATTACTTTTCCCGTGAGTTGTGGAGAGGTAGGGAGAGACCGATTACTTGACAGCGGTGACAACAAAAATATTACATGTAATGTGTAAGGTATCATAGATTTTCATAGAACTGTGGTGAAGTTAACCCGTGTCAGAGAACGTGCTCTCCGCCATTTCCACAATTTCCAGGAGACTAACTTCCTCAACGTTGTCTCCGAGAGATCCTTTTTGAGGAGCGAGCTAAAGCGTTTCAAAAGTGTTGAAGGGTTTCATCTCATTTACTATTACCTGCTTCTTGGAGGGGGTCTTGTAGAACTAGTTGAAAGGCGCCTACCTAACTCCCGGCAACTCGAAGTATGAGTTTTTTGTCAAATTCAGGTAAAAAAGACTTGTTGAATTGTTATTGTGCTTAGCTCTCGCTTCTCGGCCTTTTGGCTAAGATCAAAGTTTAGTTTAGTTTATTGTGCTTAGCTGTTGCCTTACATACAGCATCTTATGCTTTCCACTTAGGAGACGCTTTTTAGAACGACAATCCGATGCACGATGGAAAGATGACGATCACTGTGAACTCATATCCTTGGCAAACTGAAAAAGACCCAAATTGGTCGAGTCTACGTGGAAGATCTGGATGATTGGGATTTGGGCGATAAGACGTTCACATGGAAAGAATCGCTACCCGGTTTCGAGTTGTCACCAAAAGGAGAGGTGAGTGACTTGTGGCCTGAGGAATTGATCACATCAGACTTCTTTGCCACAATGCTCGGTATTTACAGATTACAATGGATGCCAACATGCCACCTGGTACCTATCATATGTCATCAAATGTGCACGATAATCGCCGGAATGAGAACGCTGTCGGATACGTGACTGTGAACGTGCTTCTGGTACCGGAAGTTGCGTTTGTGAACCAGGTGACTTGTTTACATTCATAATTGAACCACTGATTCACATAAGATTAGTTAAATTTTAATTTCTCCGGCTTGCAATTGGAATTGTCTCTTTTTGCATCATGTAAGGTCGCATGACGGTCTGCTTACTTACGCAACACGCTGTGCAGTATGCACTCACCGCAGGACCTACCTGCTGGGGGGGGGCTCTTATTCATTCAAACTCCTTTGAGGTCCTTGTATCTTTTGATCGGACGCTTTTGTGACAGTGTCACAGCAATCTCCCTGTCTCTGTCAACAGCTCTGAGCCGTCTCCGAATTTCATACATACCACGCTTTATGTTGGGCTTTGTAAATCTGCTATATTTATCGTATGTCTGCATTACGTAGTTCTTAGGCGTGTCGGTGTCGCTATTGTCACTTACTGTGTCCGGCCAGGATCGAAAGCTCTCCGCTCAGACTTTGCCTGTAATTGTAGCATAGAGTATTGTGATTCGTAGTGCAGTTCCTCGCGCGTTTCTTGCCTCATCGCATCTGGTCTCGCTACTTGTCGCGTGAACTCGCTCATACCCCTGCTACAGGTCCTTGTCGACCTTTGGTGCCACATATTTCCTTTTTTTTTTGTAGAAGTAGTACAAAGGAAGCAGCTTATCACACTCTAACTGAACTTTGGGACGTGAGTTCGAGGTCCGAGTACAGGCGAGAGTCAGAGTCATTTTGCCATAGCTCAGATATTCCTTGGATCGCGAACTGCAACGATAATCAGCAGTTATCATAGTAGAAGACTGGCATATAAAAAGCAGAGGGCAAACGAAGTGAGTTTGTCGCAAGAGTGAAATTGTACTTTTCTTTCAGGGATCGATGCAGTTACTACTTGGCGAAGACTCCAGTTTGCAAACGCCTGAAGATTTCATTCGAGTGAATGCCAGTGGCAAGAGTATCCAGGACGTATTCACGCAACAAATGATAAAATACATGGGTGGCAACGTTTTGCTGGATGTGTTCGCTGTTCAGGTTGGTATACTTATTGTGCAAATGGTCCCAATGGGAGTCATTACTAGTTTTTTGAATAACTTCAAACTGTGATTTCAGTTGGACTATGCCAACTTTGCAAACACGTACCGTCCCTGTGTTGAACATTCGTTTCTCTGCTCATGGTTTTCTTTTCCTCCCTGCTTTCCTCGGTTTTTTCTCTTCCGTACAAGTCAGTATCTTCACAGTCAACCCGATCTTTCGGTTTCTATACTTCAATTATGAATTACTTTTCAGAGACTCAACCCAGCTGAACGGTTTGATTTCGGCGAATCGAGATGAACTGCAATCGAAAATGGGTACCACCATCGTCGGAGTGGGCATAGACATGTGCAAATTTACCGTATGCGATTCGGGATGTCAAACGATCAGCACGGCAGATTTCGTAAGTTTTTCATTGAATTTGGCCCCCTTTTCAATTTTCGGCGGGTTATCTGGGCCCTGATAGCTCTAGGGGAAGGCGTTTTTCATCTGTGCAAAAATAGATCACTCGTAAATGGACTTGGGAAACTCCTGCGGTCTGAAAGAGAGGTAATTCCGGGGTGGGTGAACCATTTTGAAGTACGGTAGTTGCATTTGGCCGACGGTATTTCCAGTTTTGCACGAGGAGTCCTCTAAATACTCTCTAGGTTTGGCGCCCTTGTCTGTAACCCTTTTTGTTGTAGGGCCCGTCTGCCGCAGCCGGCCTAAGCCAATAGTCCTATGAAGCATTTCGATGGCTTGATAAGTAGTTGTTAGATGGCTATCACCACCTTTCCCCCTACCTCACTTGCGCTCGGCGAGACGGCAAGATTTGTGGAAAACCAGCAAATTTATGGAAAACGTGGAAGAAAATGAGAAAAGTCATTCGGAATGAAAGAATTGAGTCGTAGCGGAGGAGGGAATTTGGGGGGGGGTCGTATTCGGAGTTCGTTTAAGTCGCAAGGAGGGTTTATATCGAGTTGGGCGCTCATAGTTTTTGGTAAGGATTGCTCTCTTGCAGGCTTTGTCCAAAGTTACTTGTTCTTCGCTTTTGCAGAATGGAGTGGTTGTCTCAGCGAACAGTACTGTACTAGTTGGAGTGAATGCTCAGTCGAAAGACGAATGTACTTGTCCTGTATGGCGTCCACCACCTCAGTGTCTGGCAGGACTGTGTCATAACGATGGCGTGTGCCACAACACTCATCCGGGATTCTTGTAAGTTTTTTTGTCTTGGGTGATTTGTTGAGCGGATCTAGTTACCGATCAATACACATTTAAAACATTTGTGGATTACTGGTCCTCTATTCCCGTGCTTTCAGCTGCGAGTGCCGTAACGACCTTCTGAAGGGCTCAAGATGTCAGGGAACAACGAGATCGTTCTCTGGAGATGGTTTCGCTTGGTATAAACCAATGCCGGCTTGTACAGCACTTAAATCAGCAATGCAATTTATTGAACCTGCTGGAGTTGGATAAGTTTGAGCTTTCGCTTTCTCCCATATCTTCTATATGGCTCAGCGCGCTCAATTTAGTCAACCCGACGCTGTCCTCTTCTACAACGGGCCCAATGGACACAAAAACGACGGAGAAACAAATCGACTACCGCGACTATATCATCATTCACCTGAGAGGAGGACGACTTGTCATGGAGGTAAGAAAGGCCTTCCCACTGCACGTGAATTGCCTTAGTAGAATCGTCGGGCGCGCTTTTTTTAGTGAGGCATAATTAGTCGTCGCGAATTTTTTCATATGACGACGTTGCAGATGTCGATGAATGGCATAGCACCCGTCAACCTTGAGGTGGCATCAACAGCCTTGAATGACGGAACGTGGCACGAACTCGCAGTGACGCAGATTGGAAAGGCAAGTTTTTCAAATCTCAGGAGGTTCATGTTTATTGGGGGTCGACAAAATGATCATGGGTGCAACTTAGAGGTTGTGTTTTGTGCGGCCTTGAAAGTAATGAGCCATGGCCTTTCCAACTTTTTGAATCATGCGCACTTGCAGGTGGATGATCGACCCTTGAACAGTCCCCTTGATAATGTGAATAGACGATGGGTTGAGGGTCGTATTTTGGATACGTTGCTGGCGTCTTGAATTCTTATAATACAGTTGAGTAAGTTATTTTCTGTACCAGTTAGATCCAACGGCAATAGTGGCGCTGTACGGCTTGCACTTCTTCTAGGGGCCTTTTGCACTTCTGCATGTTCCCTCTGAGTTAGTGTTAACTAACAGACCTCATTTTGGTGAAACCTGTAATCTTTTGTGAAGCTGCAAGATGGTGCATGTGAGCCACTTTGCTGACAAGAGTTTACAGGTCTCTACAAGGTGACCTGCACAGGCTTTGTTGAGTACCATTCGATCCCTCCTCCCCCCCCCCCAACAAGCGGAACTGCGGATATTTTGCGGAAGTACTCGCGCTACAAACTAGGGCCTCAACTCTCGAAGAATCTTTCGTAAAGCGACTAAGCATTCTTTCACGGAGCATTATGCGTATTTGTGTATTCTTGCGCAAGGCGGCATTTGCATAACCCGCTGTACACTCTACCCCTCACAGAAAGCCCCACCCCAGACTGCCACGCCCCTTTTTTCACCGCGAACACAGTTGTACCTCGCGAGACGGTAATGATCGTGTCTGAAAAGCGCGATACCAGAAACTGGTTAGATCACCATCTCTGACTGTAAATTGTGGAACTGGCCGTAAACTATAAACGGTTCGTCCCAGTAGCCACCCAGGTATCGCTCTGGTGCAAACCGATCGCTTTTCTGCATCGTGATCTTGGAGATAAATATTTGTATTTCTTATTCGAAAAGATAATTCCAAAACGAGAGTGGTCCTTTCATTTGTATTCCTGCTTTGGCCAAGGTTTTAAGGAACATTATGATCACGTTTTTATTAATGTGGTGCTTATCGGCTTGTTTTTAGTACATCGAGCTGGTGGTAGACCAATGCCGCTATCTTGGCGCTGGTACGGATGACTCAGCGTGCAGGAAATCGCTTTACACACCTGATGATGACGAACGTCTCAATATTGTCGCCCCGGTTCAGATCGGAGGTCGGTCTAAAGGGATTTGAGACCCAAACAGTGGGAACATCTACTTCCGCAAATTGGACAATTTTCAGGTCTTGCTCCATTAGCCAACGGTCAAGCCTATCCGTCAGCAGTACCAAGGACAGCTTTGAGTGGATGTATTCGTAACCTCAGAGTTAATGACGATCAGTACGATCTGGCAACACCGGCATATGAAAAGAATACCGCGAGTGGATGCAAACTATGGGGAGGGGCATGTGATAGTAATGCTATCGACAGCCTTAGCCATTGTGTCCATGGGGATTGTTATGCTGATGTCCAGGTGAGGCTGCAGTTATTACTACGTATTACTTAATTGTTTGTTCAGATAGGATTTCTGGATTCTGTTTACAAGTCCTTGTTGTTCTACGCAGTAGTAGCTCATTTGGTTTAAGGGCAGTACATCATTGGTCCCGAAATGCATATGTGATCCTGGATGGGGTGGTGCTCGTTGTGAGAAGAAGATCGAATGGATTCAAATGCAATCGGGTGGATTCATAGATTACTCGCCAAAGATTGCTTTCCCCGAACAAACGAACGACATCGAGTTGCTTTTTATTCCGGGACGAGTCAGTGGCGCCGCCGAACTCACCTATGGAGCGGATAAGTCGCAGGTAAGTGGAGGACAAATTGTTTTTTTATTACCGAGACGGACGGAGAGAGGATAGCACGGGCTGTGCGTGGTTGAGTGAGATGTGCGGAGAAATGGGGCCGGGGATCTCGAATTTCGATTTTTGCTCTCCCAAAAATTGAGAAGGTGCTGTAGACGGTAACACTAGTCGTTGTCCCGATTAACGCATCTCAAATTCCTGTTGTCATTAGTCAACCGTTTTTCTAAAGGAATCCCTCCCAAGAAATTCTTGCCGTTCCGGTTTCCAATTTTTTTTTCTGCGTTGTCCCCACCTTCAGTGGAGTGACTTAAAGGCAGTGGACACGATGGCTGCGGGCGGGCTGTTATTGCCAACGTCATTGGTGGAGGGGCGGAGTGAGGTGTCGTCGAAAAACCCTCTCGCAGCCCTTCCACCGATGACGTTGGCAATAACCGCCCGTTCTCAGCCATCGTACACACTGCTTCTAAAAAGGCCATGCATTTGTGAGGATTCTCTAGTCCCACTTAGATTTGCACAAATGTTCTTCCTGTTCAGAACTACGTCTCAACATCAGCTGAGATGACTTCCGATGGTTTGACACCTATGGCGAAGTTCGATCTTGGCGGAGTACGGAATTCGCTTACGCAGCTTCGAATCAACGAGCTGTCGCTCAAGGAGAATTCTTCTTACTGGATGCATTTCACGAGGAATCCTACTAGGTGAGTTCGAGTAGCGTGAAGTCTGCAGCTAGGGTTAGCCGGTTTAGGGGTATCGAGTAAGGCGCGTTTATAGTCGACGGCCGTGGTCGCGCAAGCCAACCGACTCAGTTATATGTCAAGCAGCGCAAGGATTTGATTTTGAAAGCTTCCTCATTGACGAGTGAACAAAGTGATGTGGAACGCGCTCTAGCGCTAATCGTAGATCTATCGAATCGCGCCACCCCAAGAGGTCGCCTGTCGCCGACTATGAACGTGACCTAAGAAATGCCCTCAGCTTTTTTGTTAGCTCCATAGCTGAATACGTTTTCAGCTAGGAGTTACCTTGGTACAATCGTTATCAGTGAAGTCAGCCGCGGTGTGGCAGCGCCTGCATTTCGTCGCAGCGCCCGTCTTTTTTTCCCACTGCTCATTGAACGCCCCAAGCCGCAACGATTGGTCGAAAACGGGCTGGCGCCGCTGACACGCCCCGACTGACTTCAACGATAATGACTATAGTTTCTCCAGCTCGAGTAATTTATCTCTTATTTAAATTGACATTTTCAGAGCGTCGCTATCAATCGACGACGCGTACTATACGTCGCAAGTGTTGGATCCAACTGGTAGTTCACAGTCGTTTGCCTTGCAAGTCAGCGAGCTGTTCCTCGGAACACATAGTGGTGGACGAGGTTTCCAGGTTGGTTCAAGCCTGCTATGGAGCGTTGAAGTTTTCCATTACTTTTTATGAATGACTTTTGATGTTCCATATTGAAGGGATGTGTTGGAACGTATCGCTGGTCAAACCAGAATCTTCCATTGCGTCGTCCATCTAATCAGGCTGTTGATCCAGACGATGAAAGCATAGTTTCCATCACAAAATCGGAAGGAGTTTCTGATGGTAGGCACTTCGCCCTTTACGTTTTTTGCTTCCTTTCTCCTCACCAAAGATGGTCGCTGTCCTTGAGATAAAGAGGGCTTCGGCAAGCTTTTCAATGGCATTGATCCGCCTAAACAAGGAGCGTAGGAGGAGGGGAACAATGGGGGCGGCAGGTCCTTTCGTGGTTCGTACCTCGTGGTCTGATTTCTGAGGTGCTGAGGCAAGTACACACTTCTTGTACTCCTTAACCAGGTCTTAGTCAAAAATAAATATTTCTAGCTTTTTTGGGATTCCCTCAAATACTGAAGATCCTTCTATGGTTGCAATATAATGTTCCTCACATCCCTCACCCTCTTTCTAAACGTTTTTATAATCTCTAATGATTTTTGTAGATGGTGGGATTATTGCTTTCCTTATTTAGCCCTCATTTAGGGCTTCTATTAGGCATGATAGCGGGCTTGTTATAGTGCGGAGTTATTAGAAATGAGGCGAGAAGACTAACTGAGCGTAGCTCGCGGGGGGGGGGGGCAGTTTGTACTTTCGCTACTTTACTAGTTCCTGTTTACAAGTCACCCTTCGGTGAAACCTGTGAAGCTTGTGCAGCTGGAGCAAGTCATCGAGACTCCGAGGTCCATGAAGCAAAAGAGCAGTTCCCCCTCTGTCGCCTTGTGCGGACAAATGCTGTTTCAACCCTGCTAATGTGATAACAGTATGGCCGCGGGGTGTCAGTACTTCTTGTGAGGAGGGAGTGAAGCGTGGGAGGCTAAGTACTGCTTGCGCTTGCCAAAGGTAGAATGTTGCACAGCACAAGCATGCAGCTCCATTGTGCCTTCTGGAGTATGTATTCAAAAAAAAGAGGAGCTCGACGGGTATAGCGGGGGGGAGGTCGTCTTTAACGACAATGAGCGGTTCAGTGATAAGGAAGTGCCCAGCTTCAAGAATCCAAGGAGGATTGTTCCAGCTCGAAGGGTGGGAGGACCCCGCGCCCTCTCTACGATTTCCTTGGATCTTCTCCCGCCTCTGCCACCCCCGTTCTCTGTACTCGAATTTGATTTTGTCGGAGCGTACCATTAACGTTTATTTTCCAATGATAAAGTGATTGCTAGCAGTTGTAGAAACGGGAGGAGTTGGAAGGAATTCGTAATCCAGTAGTGTAGTGAGAGTACACAGCTGGCAAACTCGGAATGTCTTTGCACTAATTCGTTTTTACGTGAGATCCATCGGTGTCCTTTTGGCGTTTTTCTGTTTATCGCGTTGTTATCGACAACCGTTGGGACGCGTTTTTTTAGAGACTGAGTGCCGCTTTGCTTTTTCCCTCAGATGCGCTTTTTTCTATCGCCTCTGTCTCTGGTGGCATCTTAGGTGCAAGGACGCGAAATCTAAAGGGGGACCGATTGGGGCGCGAAATCTTAGGAGGGACCGATAAGAAAATGTGACGATTTTAATGAAAATCCGCCGACTGGAGCGCACACATATTAGCATCGAACCGCGGTAGTTTGGGAGGAAGAGGGGCACGTCTATCCTTGGGGATCCCCAAAGGAGAGGGTCGTTTTCGGTTGCTGGAGGGAAGGGGATCTTATACGACCTCAGAGAAATTTTCTTCGTAGTTGGTTTTTTCTGTTTCACGGGGGCTAGACGCTTGTAGTTTGGAGAGTTTCAGTGAGTTAGGGGGGTCTATGTGCCTTTGCGAAATTTATCGCGTGAATTTTTTTCGGTCGTTGACTCTCCCCCCCCCCCGAGCTGTGTCCTATTTGGCGTTTAAGGACTGCTATACAAATACTATTTCCGTCAGTTGAAATTAGTAATTGATGGACGACCTCCCCTACCCACTCCCGCCCCGCTCCAATGGCGAAATTTTGAGGAAAAGCAGGGAAATTTTCGGGAAACTTGGGAAAATAAAGTAGGAAGTTGGGAAAGTTCGCAAGATAGTAAGCAGGATGGACAGAGAAGGAATGAAGGGGGAGGGGTCGTATTTTCCAGGAATTTTCTTCTGGCGGCCGGAAATGCACTGATTAGAGATCCAGTTACAAAGAATGCCGGGGACTTCAATCAGTCAGAAGCCTTCATCCAAACATTTACTTTACAGGATGCAGCCTGTTGATCACGTGCGCCCAACTGCCTATCGGTTACTGTAGCGGCGCCATGGTATGCATGGATTTCTGGAAAGGAGCGTTTTGTACGTGCCCTGAAGGTGCCAATGCGATGCTCGGCGATGATGGGCAGGTACGTTGTTACGGTAATCTCGCACATAGAAGCTGAAGACTACTAGTTCCTCACTTCATTTCATTTTTAATTTTATCTCTTTTAGCTCGTTGGATGCGGTGAAACGTTGGCTGTGGCAAAATTAGGCATCAGTAATCCGGCCATTATCTTGATATTGGTGTCACTGGTTTTGTTGATAAGTGAGTTACTTATTACTCTACCGCTTACCAGGCGCACGGTCCGGGGATGAAATCCTGGATTGGCTCCCGTCCAGAGCAACGCCTTGCGCCCTCTGGGGACGGTAAACGGGTACCGGACTCGTCTGGAAGGACAACTGACACGCACTGACTTGTACATCGGG